TCCGGTCCAAATGGCACCGTATCGTTGACTGCCCGCGAAAAATGCACGGGAAAGGACAAACGGACGACTGGATGGAATTTTTCGGTTGGAAAGTCCAACTGCCGTTGAAGCATGAAATAAAAGTCCGTAAATATTGTGAAGGTCACGATGTTCCCAACCGCCATGATGGATAATATCTTTTGGCATCGTTATTTCGGGACCGTTAAAGACAGAAGGTTCGTTCATATCATTCCAGACAAATAAGAAGCCCGTCGACCCTTTGTATTGATCGAAAGCAATTTTCTTGCTCCACCATTCCCGAGTTGAAGGATTCGTGAAGTCCGGCCACGAAGAACTTCCAGGCCAACACCATCCATCGTATACTCGTCCATCGGGTTCCTTGGTGAAGAGATCCAAATCGCTAGCTTCTTTGTATACATAATAATTGTCATCACGCTTGAGATGAGGGTCAACAATGGTAACCATCTTTCGTCCCTTTTGCCCAATGCTATTTTGCATTCCTACGGGATCCGGAAACTTTACGTTATCCCAAGTCATATATCTTTTCCCATCAGTGTGCTCGATATCTAGCCAAATGACGTCATATGGAATTTCGTGCTTGTCAAATCCTTCGTCCACCTCAATTACATCATTCTGGTCTAGATAATTCCAACGACACTGGTGATAGCTGATCGCAAAATATTGGGGCAGCGCTGTGAACCCCGTGAGTAACCCGTATTGATGAAAGATATCCGATGAACTTGGACCGAGAAAAACAAATACGTCGACAATACCCGACTCTGAAAACCAATGAGTGTGCGTTGAAGTCGGGGCGGATTTTCCAAAGTTCAAAAATTTTGATAACCCATGTTTATCTTCCTTATTTTTAGTTATGTCAATCCAAGTTTCAGCGGCGTTTAACCAGAGAACGGCCGCAGTTGCTCCTCGTCGGTGCGCCATCATAAAGGGAATTGATCCGTAAAGCGCCATGGGATTATCCAGATCATACTCAAACACATCTAGATTATATAATCGATAAGGCTCTTTATATGCACCGTCTCCACCTCTCGTCTCCTTTAACGAGAATGTGGACGCATGTTCGGGAATGCCATACACATGAGCAAATCCCGGAAAAGATATGTCGAGCCCGATAGATTCAGGTCCATTTGGCTTGGTATCCGTCCTTCCATTAAAGGTTTCCTCCCATAGGCCTTCTTCCTTTCCTTCTTTCTCCTCGGTATCGCCGTCAACTTTACTCGCTTGATCGTTTTGATCAACTAGAGCAGGCGAACTTTCCTTTTTTCTCATGTGTTCAAAATTGAAAAATCCGCGATCATTTAACAAAATGGTAGGCACATCGTCAACTAAAAACTCGACACGAAACGGCGAGTGATAAACGACGATCTTTTGTTTTCTGTCCTTGCCGAAAGATATGGATGTGAGACCATCTTGTGAAGGATGCTCAGTGTATTCTAAGGTAGTCGACGGTTCTTTGACAAGAGCAAAATTCTTAACGTTATCGTATCGAGGCTTTAACGGATGTTTCTCGTTGATTCGAATTCGTGCTGTACCAATTTCCAGGAAACTTACTTCAAAGGTAAAGAGGATTTTATTTTCTTTGTTGATAATATCCCCCGAAAGAATGCCATCCTTGATGACAATTGTTTCTTTAACTAAAAGATACGGAGATACAAATGAGGGATTGGCCAAAACATTGTCGGCATAACCTCTAGCACGTCTGCAGAAAGAACTATCCGCGCAAGTTTTGAAGTCTTGCTGTTTCACGGCCGAGAGGATTGGAATCGTC